TAATAATAATAATAATAATAATAATAATAATAATAATAATAATAATAATAATAATAATAATAATAATAATAATAGTGCTTTGCAAATGGGTGTTATTTTTATAAATCAAATCAATATCGATATAATTACAGATCTAATCGAAAAACAAAGCCACAATTATCCCAGCATCCATTGGCTGTATTCAGTGATGAAAAAGTCGATCTGTTATATTATGACTCGTACAGTTGTCAAGAAGCAAAAGAACGCGTTGGTCTCCATGATTTCATACAACTTGAAAATTGAACTCCCGAAGCCATTCTTGAAAAAGAACCATATGCACCAAGTCTTGGCATTGCTTCGAGTTTTTATATTCTTGAAACACCGCGAATTTGCAGACTTACCTATTATAAGAGGATTTAATTTGTGAGATTGCAATAAATAGACACTGTTTTTTATGTCCAGCAAGACGTTAATGTATTATGAAAAGTTAAAAATGAAATATGTTAATAAATACAAATAAACAATAATTATTGATACGAAAGTTGATACGAAAGTTGATATGAAATATTATTAATGTGAAAGAGGATCACGAGAGTGAAAAATAGAAACTCAAGAAGGAGCGAAAGAAGTTGGAAATTGGTTCGTCAACCTCTTTCTCCTCATCGCTGCCTTTACATTTGCATCTCTTAATTATTTTCGTGCCTTCTCTTTTTTGCGAAATAGAGAAAAACCGTACATACTGATAAAAAAGCCCAGTTTCGTCCATATTATAGAACCTTTATCTTGCAATAACGAGAGATATTCAGCAATAGCACTTTGATCAGCAGATGCTTTCTCTCCATGAAGTTTTTCCTAGCGAATTCCATCTGTTTAGGTTATTTTATTTTGGGTGGCATATGTTTAGTGACGAACGAACAATGAAGTAAAAAATGAGTATGGTGCAGGAACTCTTAAATCGGCAATATGTTTCATGTTAAAAATTCTATCACCTTCTTAACTAAGAAGTAAATCCAAATTTGACCTTTTCTATAATATTACCGGTTAAATTTTGTATTTACGTACTTCTTAGTTAAGAAGGTGATAGAATTTTTAGCATAAAACATATTGTCGATTTAAGAGTTCTTACACAATATCAACGAACAAAGAAAATGAATAATGATGAAGTAAAAAAAAAATGAGTAATAACGAGGAAAATGGCCAGTTCATGAGCATTATAACGACTAGGATATCATTTGTAATGTCCAGAGTTTATAAAAAAAATAAACGTAATAAACGTTAAAGGTCTCTTATTTATTTTGTGCGATATCATTATCGTTATTATTTATTATCAATGTGTGGTTTCACCTTCCTTTGGTTTTGTTCTTTTCCCGTGAATAGTATCTACGAAGAGTAATTATCGACGAACACCTCAGCATATGTGCTGAAGACATGTCGCGTCTCCTCAATACATACCAATGCGAGTGGACATCCGTTATCAAAGACCCTGCTTGCCGTACCCAATTCAAACAAATTACCAACACTGAAGATATTCAACCGAGTATTGAATTCATAACAGAACGTGGTCAACGATTGATTGGCTCAAAGAATTTCGTAGATTAAACTTTCACTTGTCGATTCTTTTTTTTATTGTTCAATGCACATACACACACAAAGTGGTGTTATCGCCGGCGAACAAACGACGAAGATGAGCCGTGGATGTCACTGACGCGGGATCAATGTATGTGTAGCGTTGCTGATTTCCAAAATCGGTAGAGTTTACAACGACGATTGCAGCAATTCCCATCACGATTGTCAACAATGCCGCAGGTTCCCAATCCGGTAAACTCTTCAGCAGCTAATTTCCCCACCACAATTCTGCTGCTGTAGATTATTCATCAAAACAGCAGCAAATTTCGTCACGAATGTCAACAAATGCATGATAGCATAATAATAAAAAACAACAAGCTCCCTTTTTAGTACATGTATACGACACGGAATTACGCCATTCCCCGTATCGTTTTCAGCATCGCCTCATCATTCAGCGTTTCTGCACCAGTTTTCAGTATCTCCTCATCGTTTTCAGCATCTCCTCATCATTTTTCAGCGTCTCCCTGTCATTCTTCAGCACGGTTCCGTTTATTTTGTAACAGTTACTTCTATAGATGATAGAGCGTCTGTTGTGAACCCTTTTTTTATTTTAAAAAAAAAATATAAAAGAATGGCCTACGGGCTACTAATAAAGAACAGAATAAAATTGTGTACAATTCTTCTCCAAGCAAGATACAGCTTGAATCTTTGTGTACAACTATTCTTAAAAGCGAATTATTGCTTGTAAAACTCTTTCCCAGTTTTTCCCCACGTTAATCGTGATATCGTATTACTCGTTGGTTAGGTCCTTTACACCAGAAAAGGCGTAGTTTTGTGTAGACCCGCATTGTTATCGAAAACCCGTTTTTGTGTAATCACCGTTGTCGTTATCATTTAAGAGTTTAAGGCTTTTGTCTAGAAAAATAACGATTGTTAATAATATTTTAAGAATTTAAGGCTTTTATCTATAAAAAGCAACAATAAAGGAAATCCTCCTAACACTCACCCGAAACACATAATCTTTTCTTCCCCCGCCAATCAACAAAAACGACGATATCCGTAGATATCGGCACAGACTTTAAATACCGAAAGAATCCACTGTTCAGTCTACCAATCTCTCCCAAAGTCTTGTTGCGGCGTAAATCCTTTAATTCGCTAAAACAAAACATAAGAGCAACAGTGGTACGCGACACAGAACATGCGCTCACACAAACGCGCGTTCGTGCTATCACAAGGTATAGTTGGTGCGACGAGAATGGAACCATAAAAGTCAGTTGCCCGATGCATAAGAAGAATTTTGCTCTTGAGACGGGCGAGTGTATTTCTGATAATGAGAACTTGAGATATATTACCCATCTCCACCTGTATATCAATCACAAAATGTTTATAGTTCCAGAGATTGACACAGACCCGCCATGTAAAATATTACATAATATATGTAAACTCCCTTATATTTACTAACAATAATAAATAAATATTATAGTGTGATATTCTTTTATTTTCGTTTATCTAGTAGAGTAAGTGGCATCTGGTATTGAGTTATGCTGGGTGGGAATCTTACTATTGAGGTGGTAGGTATGCCCTAAGTTGCATTTAGTTTTTTGTTTATTTAGAACCTCTTAATTATGAAGTAAATTCAAAATCTAATGCGTTACTATGATCAAGAAAGGTTAACGTTAACGTTAGGTTTTGGATTACTTCCTAATTAATAAGTCATAGCGATAGAACTCTAAACATATATTAATGGCATTGAGCAAGCGCCTGGTGCGGAAGATTGTAAATATACGAGTAACCTGTTTCTTTGGTTGTATGATAATGTTTTTAATCGTATATATCGTTAAGATGAGCAAGTTCCGTGTTTAGTCACTAAGCTTTGTGATGTAATGAAAGCTCGGCCATGTCGGTTAAAAAGGATTTGTTATTAGTAAACATCATACCGAGCAAGGTTTCTGGCTAGGTAAACACAAGATTCGGTATTATGCATAGACGTTTGATATTACATGTAATAGCTAACTCTACTTTTAATATTTAGTTGGCTATTCTTGATTTTTGAACTTTTCATGGCATTTTTCAATCAAATCCTTTAGATAGTTAGAATAGCAAGAGAAATAGTAAGTTTTATTTTATACAATTATAACTTGTTTTGATTTATTAATATTTTTTAATAAAATTTCATTGGCGTTAGTCGAATTAATTATTGAATTGATACTCATTTTAAAAAACGAAAATTAATTTAACCCCCAGTAGACACGAATATTTCATGGAAAAATATTGAGATGTAACAAGTGAGATTGGTTTAATAACAACTATTCTAGATCCTTGTTTTTAAAAGCTCAATTTTGTTTCAACGACAGATCGAAAAAGCTACGTATTACTCTATTACATGAAAGGTTGCATTTGAAAAATTAATGCAAAATCCAAATGAGACTGAATTATCCGAATCATCAGCTACAATCAATCTGTTTGTTGACCAAGTTATTGAAATATCTTTTCACGCATCATTTTTAAGGTTATTTAAAATTGCCAATTAAAAAAGCATTATTCCATTAGTGGAAAGAACGAAAACATTGTTTTCTCATCTCTCATTTAAATACTTGGCCATGGTAGCAACATCAGTACCGAGTGAAAGACTATTTGCAGATGCAGGATTACATTTGACAGCTAAAAGAAGCTGCTTACAACCAAGTCTTTTATGTTTCTAAAACAAAATATTTTTGTTCATACCTATCATGAATACAAAATAAACTAACGCTAAATCACTTATTTTGTTATGTTTGATTGATAGTTCATTTATACACATAAAAAACGGTTAGTTTTTAATTTACAAATCAGAAATTCATAGTACTGTCATAATGCCTTTTCCTGGTTCCAGCGATTATAAAGCAGAGGAAATTTGATCTTCATACAGTCATACAACCTCTTTAAAGTAGTGTGGTTATATGGAGGTAAAAAACTCGATATTGCTTTAGAAATATACACAAGTTAACATTAACCACAAAAGTATCCATTGATGAGAATTAGGCAAAAGAGCGAATTTTATTTTCTAAAAATATTACGATGGCAAGTGAATCCTCGAATTTATTTATCGGAAAATCTACTTGCCATGAGGTTCCAATTTAGCGATAAATATAAAATATATTTACAAAATAAAAGATATTTATTTTCCGAGTGATCTAATACGTGGAGATAAAAAGAGTTTTTCTTTCGCTGCAGAAAATCAATATTTAAATTTTATGTGCTTTTTTTATTATTGTCATCAATTGATTTAAATTGATTTGCATGGTAATAATTAAAATACAACAATGTCAATCGAATATTCTAGCGCTAGAAACAAATACATGTAACAAATAATGATAATGTCAAAAAACGTCTTGATGATGTTATGAAGGTGTGATTGTTTGTTTTTCGACTGAACGTAATTCGGCTTTTTTATTTGTGCTCGTGCTTTTTTATTTGTGCTCGTGCTTTTTGGTTTTGTGATAGGATACATCTACCCGATTTGGTAATAACAAAAATAACAAATAGCATTGCGTATTTTCGGAAATTTCTACCGTAATAAAGATTAAGGTTAAATAATGGTTTAAGATTAGGGTTAGAGATGGTGATCCAGATTATATATATAATTGTCTTCTCGACATTTTTTTATTAGTACTCCGGACCAGATTTAGACATTTGTTTCTTGTATTTTTCACATTTCTCGCATTTGTGTTTTACCGGGTTGATCAAAAATTTATGCAGTCTTATTGGCTGTTTTTTATCCTAACCAAATCGGGGGAGCGGTTAAAGCGTAGTTCATCACGTGACATATCTTAAAAATATTAAAAGGTAATTTTAACGTTAGGGTTAGGGTTAAGGTTGGGAAGGAGATCAAGATTATATTTAAAATTGCCTTCCTGACATTTTTAATTAGTGCTTCAAGAAAGATTTAAGCACCTGTTTTCCGTATTTTTTCATTTTTTGTCTTTGCTTCAAATTTGTTTTGCCGGGTTGATTAAAAATTTACGCATCCTCATTGGTTTGTTTTTCGGACAGATTATCGGATGGACTACGCTTTAACCGCTCCCCAAATCGGGTGGGGGATACATAAATGCACGCGCGATAACGATACATGCACGTGTAATATCAATGGCTTGCCTTGATGATGTATATGAAAGTGATTGTTTGTTTGTTTGTTTTTCGACTGTACGTAATTCGGCTTTTTTATTTGTACTTGTGCGTTTTTGGTTTGTGATAGTGATAACGAAACATGCACGTATAATATCAATGACGCGAACAGAGGGAAGCGCATGTTCAGAATGTATGATTTATTTTTCGTGTTACCGTTATCTTACGTCACTTGGAAGTTTTCGATCGAAACACTGATAGTGTATATAAAGATAACGATAATGAAATAACAGACGTGACATTAGCAATTTAAGTACCATAATAGAATCATGTGTGATGAGAGTGTGATATAACGATAATGATGATGTAATGCCCTAAAGGTACATGTATTTGATTACTATATTACGCGATTTAATTATTAAATAATATTCTTCTAATTATATCATTAAGAAATCTACATGGATAAAGGGATTCAATTGATTACTATTGGTGCGATATTTACAACTATTTCAAATTATTGTATGCGACGAAGTATCGACGAAGGTGAATCAAACAAAGCATTCCTTGTAATACAATTAATGTTGGTATTTCCTGTGGCGATACTATTGAATCCAGTTAGGACAAAAGATTACAAATTCAGTCATCGGATGGCGGTATTCGCAATAATAACAGGGACCATTTTCGCTTTTATGCAAGCAAGCCTAGGGAAAGCATTGGAATATGGACCAGCTGGGCTTACATTTGCCGTAGTGAGTTCAGCGGCAGTCATGCCAATGATTGTAATGGTTTCAATATTCGGACGTCCATTCGGTTTTAATTATACGATCTGTAATGGAATTGGATCGGTGTTGGTGATGTTGGGTCTTTTCTGGGAAGCAAAGACTGAGGTTAATTCCGTCACATATGATTATAATGCCATATGCTGGCTCATCTTTGTAACCCTTGCATTTATATTACAAGTTTCTGTGTTGGTTCTGATGCAATGGCGTGCACTGTTCATTCAATTTCCATTCTACCGTGAACAATTGTATCTACCATTCGATGCTGAATCCGCGAAATCACAATGGTTCATGCCCATAATGTTCGGTACTGCCGCATTAATTAATCTATGGATATTCATCTATACACGAAACGATCACCCGACTATCTGTGAATTTTTATATGGCGCGTTTGGTGGGCTATCTAATAGTCTAGGAAGCTTTTTCATGATATTGGCCACGGAAATCGCTACACCGTTGGAACATGCTATGCTGTTTCCTATTTCCTCGGTTGAGGTGATGATCATGTGTAATGTATGGGGTCAGTTGCTTTATGGCGAGCAAGTCAATTGGTTGGCGAACGCGTGTTGTGTGTTGGGTGTTTTGATTGGAAGTTTTCATTACGAAATATTACGAGGGTTTTGTTGATGTGATTCATTGAGAATATAATAACGATAATAACGAATGCATATACATGTATGTGTTAACAAAAATTATAAACGTGGCTTTTTTCTAAACAATCTTAGCATAAGAGTATTATTATGTATGTATTTATTTTAGATAAACTTTTTTTCAAAGAAACTCAGATCAAACTTGGGTTCAAAGAGGATAATTGCTTGAAATAAATGGTTAGATTGGTTGTCTTTGTGAAAACGAGAAATATTATTTAAGCAAGGGTCTTCTTCTCGAAAGATGCTTGGCAAAACAGTGTAAATCATAAGTATCCGACACCTCCCTCCCTCCTATCTCAACATCAATCATGTGTAACGCCAAGAAATTTTCCGAGCATAATGATGATGGCAACAACATCAATACCAAAAAATTAAAACAAAAGTTAGTGAATTCTTCATTGCTTGCTTTGGGTTAAGTAAACAAAAGCAATGGAAGACTTGAAATCAAAAAAGATTAGGAAAAAAGGAATGAATTCTAGTGCTAATAACAACCATCAAACTAATATTAAAAGGTTGCCAAATAATTAATTATGTAGTTCACAAAATGCCTTTGATGTTAATTAGCATTAACCTGATGACGTTTATATATAATAATATCAAATATAACTAATAAACCAATAGTTTTTCGATTTCGCAAAATGGGGGGGGGGGGTAAAATGGGGAAAAATGTATTTAAGGAAAACAGAGAGCTTTTTGCAATTTTTATATATCGATCTTTGATCACAATGATATCATTGATGATAATGATTGATGGATGAGAATGATAATGAGGTTGATGAGGATGATGATGAGGATGAGGACGACGACGATTATTTTTTTCTTTCTTTCGTTCTTTTCTGCGTTCTTTTTCTTCTTTTCGTTCTTTATTTTTTTCTTTCATTCTTTTCACTTTTCTTCACTTTTCTATATTTTCTTTTTCTTTTTTTCATTCTTTCATTCTTTTCTTTTCGTTCTTTATCAGATCAGTCAGATGATATCGATATACCAGTAATTCTGCTGATATTATTTTCAGACGTTAATAGATAATTCAATTTATCGTAGATATAAAATGAGGCAGAACGCATAAAAGAATCCTTTTATAACAGAGAAAGTGCTTTTATTTGTGTTTGCGCGCAAATAACTTTTAGACATCAAATCGATATTAAGAGTGTAACAACGTCTGCGTACCCGATCTGCTGGATCGACTGATAAGCCCAAAATTAACAATGAAAGCATCAATATATTTGCAGGGTGATGCACAGCCCCTGATATTCGTAGTGCATTTTAAAGTAACTTCTCATGTGATTTGCTTTGAACACAATTTGGCATTTGTAATCGTGCAATAAATCTTTTCAAAACCTCATTTAGTAAGATAGTCAACATCAAAAGGGATCCATTCAAAAGATTTATAGATTTTCTTGCACTTTCTCGTTGAATCAGTAATAGTTCCTTTTCAGGATGCATAAATTGCATTATTTTACTTTTGACTATGTTTCATTTATTAATTTACCATTTTGAATCAAAAGATAATTCTTTATTTATGCATACGACCTATAATTTTTCATCGATTGTAAAATCTAGCCTTCTCTTCTATTATCTGTTTATACATGTATACGCACGGAAGATCTTGTTTCGAAGGAGTAAGTAATCTAATACAATGAGATCGGGGAGAATATAATACTTGAAACTACGTCATGGTAAAGACACTGCAATCCAAGATTGATTATACATGTGCCCGGCTGAATGTTCAGTGTGTATCAAATTCGAACTAACAATCAATCATCCACATTAGAAATTTGCACGTTGATAGGGTTGTACCTCAGTTCTATCATCAAAAGGTCCGTTTGTTACTTTATCCAAAACGTGATTGATTGTTTCCGAATATGCCAAGATTCATTCTGAAATCGTGAAAACATGAATCTTAGCTTTGAAGCAATAGAAAGAAAAGTTACCATTCCATCACTCTTCGTTAGTGCGGACACTCGTGGTTCGGTGGGCAAAACGACATGTTGGCTTCTTTTCCAGAATTATCACTACGTGTGTTTCTTGAAGAAACAAATATTAGTTCAACATTATAAACATAGAACTGAGAAAGTTAATAATTGACACTTACGAGTTGATCCAAGATTTATAAACTTGGCATCGGTCCCATCAACACAAATGCAAGCCCCCACGTATCATTGTAGAAATCGCACCAATAGTGACTTTATGCGGTTTTGACAATTGTATAAAATTCAATGTTCTCATTGTTCTCAGAGAACATCACAACATTTTCAGAAGTCATGTTCTCAGCAAGTCCTAAGTAATTATAAAAATATTTATTTTTTTGCTTGAGAACAATTTTAAAAACTTGAGAACATTGTTTATTATTTGAGAATATAAAAAAAATTTTCGTTCATTTGAGAACATGATTTAAAAATTGAATTTTATACACTGGTTTCTAGACCATTCCTATAATATAACTCCATCAGCGAGCGTGTATGGAAATGATGTAATCAGCGAAAATTTAGCTTTATCAGTCATTAGCTCATAAAATATTCGGTCAACGTCAGAATGAACAGGAGCAGAATCTACGTGGCCTCTTCCCAGTTTGCTTGTGAATGTATTTTCTCTCCTCTCACCATAGCTGGCGGCGTTTTATTAATTCATCAACAAGCTTAGGAACAAACTAATGCTGTCATTACAAAGGACAGGTTCTAGTTAGCCAAAATTAGAAGTAAAGTACCAATTGCAATATCCATTCGAGGTAGCAGTGCACTCTGTTTATGGTAAAATATGCTATCATTATCTTGCCCTCATAGGATTTGAAGCGAGGTTAGAAATCAAACACCTCTTGACGCTTGTCTGCTAATGTTAGACGTAGCGCTAGAGTCATAATCATCATACAAGGTTGCCATTTTGTGAATTTGCGGTTTTGAAAGGTGTACAAAATTGATATATATGGGGTTGATTACAAATACAGATTATGCAAACTATTTCTTCTAGCACTTTCATGTGATAACTGTATCGATTCCAGAGATGTCTCAGAAAGATTGTATTAAGCAAAGTTTCAATTTTCGCTTTCCTGTAACGCGTTCATCATTGTTCTGGATTAATAACGGTGAAAAAAATCAAATCGTACTAGTCGATGTGCGTATCTGTTGGCGATTATTCGAGACTCATAATATTCGGATTGCGCTTCAGATTTATTGTATAGTGTTACAAGTTTGTTCACTAATCATTAAATTAGCTTACAACTTGGAACTGGGTTGGGAGATTAGACAAATAAACTAAATATTAAAAGAAAAGAGGGATATCTAAATCCTATGCCAATTTCTATGCAAAATTCAAAGATATTATAATAATAAGATGAAAAGGTTGTGGGAAAGTAAAAGCTAAAAGGGGAGAAAGAAAGTATAAAATAATAAGAGAACAAATGATAAAGAGAGTTTTGAAATGCTAATTCTCTGTACTTGCATCAAGTTTTCCAGAGCTAAGACAATACAATTAGTAATAACAATAACAAAAACTCTTGCTTTATTCTTCTCACAAATGAGGAATACCAAAATATCAAACTCAAAAATAACAAAATTAAAATAATAAAAATCAAAATACTTAATCAAAATTAATAAATCCAATAACAGTAATTTGTTTAGTACAATATAATATAAAACTAATAATTCAATAATAGTGATTTGTTCAGCACAATACAATTCAAAGTCACTTGTATACAAGCTTTAATATATACAATTAAAAGTAAGAGAGATGAATATTGTTTGTAAAAAGGTTTTTGTTAAGAAAAAATTTTATTTTCATTTGCAAAATGTCACATTAAGACTCAAATAGCACTTCTATTATACATTTTTTGAAAATACAATTTAAAATTATATAAAGATAAAATAATTAATTGAAAAAGATAAAATAATTAATTGAAAAAAGATAAAATAATTTATTTTTATTACTTTTCATATTTTTAATATTTTTAGAAATTTTTTTGTTTTTCTGATATTTTTAAAAATTATAACTTTTTTAAATTTGTGAAATTATTATTACTACTATAAATAATTAATTATTAATAAAATAACTTTAATATAAAATATTTGAATTATAACAATACTAATATTTTAAAAACTATATCAAATTATAAAATTTCAAAAATCAATATATTAATACAAGTTTTACTAATTATTATAATAGCTTACAAACTTAAATCTAAATTGGAAGAAAATATTAAATCAATAAAGAAATAATAAAAAAAGAGGAATATCAAATTCTATGCTAATTTCTATAAAAATTATAATAATTTTAAGATATAATAATAATATAAGAAAATTATAGAGAAATAAAGATTAAAAAAAAAGAATAAAAATATAAAAAAATAAAAGATTAAATAATAAAAGATTAAAAAGACTAATTCTTTGTACTTGCATAAAGCTTTCCAGAGCTAAAACAATATAATTAATAATAATAATAACAAAAAACTCTTTTTTTTGTTCTTTTTATAAATGAAAAATACCAAAATAACAAAAATTAAAATACTTAATATCCAAAATTTATAGTTTCAATAATAGCAATTTGCTTAGTATAATATGATATAAAATTAATAATATAATAATAACAATTTGTTCAGTATCATATAATCTAAAATCTAAAATAATAATAATAATTTGTTTAGCACAATATAATATAAAGATATTATTACAACGATTCTGAATAGTGAGTTTCACTGAGAATCACTATAAGTATATGATGTTGAGAGAAGGGTGATTAAACTTAAGTAAAGAGAATGAATTATAAATATTAGCAAAGGTTTCTAGAGCCTGTGCCAATATTTATGGATATTGTGTGTTCAAAGATCTAAATTACAAAAGTAATTTGAAAAAGGAGTAAAAATATAAAGAAAAGAATAAAATAAATCAAAAGATTTATAA